AGGTGGATAGCACATTTTTCTGCCATTGAGGATGGTCACCTGCAGACTCCATGCGAGCTCGTCCACTCATGCATTGGCCGCCAGAGGAACAAGGACTTGACCGATTACTCCCTTTTCCCGGAGGACCTACCCAGTTTGGTCGAGCTTGAAGCTGCCCTCCGCGCGGCAAGCACGGACAGAGCCTATGGGCTCGACGGCATTCCCGGCGAAGTCCTGCACCACGGCGCACCGTTTCTGTCCAAAGTTGCGTACCAGCTTCTCTTGAAATCTGCCTTCCGTCTTTGTGAGCCAGTGCAGCACAAGGGGGGTACGTTGTACTTCATATGGAAGCACAAGGGACCCAAAGAGTCTTGTAACTCGTATCGAGGGATACTGGTTTCGTCAACGCTTGGGAAAGCCCTGCACAAAACCATCCGGAACCGATGCACGGGACCCCTGTCTCAAAGCACGGTTCCCCTGCAGGTCGGGGGACTGCCCCAATATCCGGTGACGATGCCGGCGCATGCAGCGCGCCTGTTTCAATCTGCTTGCCAAAAGAAGAGGTTCTCGCATTCCCTCTTGTTCCTTGACCTGCAGGAGGCCTTCTACAGAATCATCCGGCCACTCATCACAGGTGATCGGCCCACGGATGAAGAGATAGCTCGCATATGCGCCGCCGTGCAGCTACCTGACAACACAATGCACGAACTGCGGGCCTTCATAGGCGGACCGTCTCTAGTCAAGGAGGCAGGTGGCAGTGCATGGGCAGATGGCATAGTCGCAGAGTCGCTTCGAGATACATGGTTCAGGCTCCCCAATGAGCGGGAAGTCGTTGTCACGCGCACCGGCTCGCGCCCAGGAGACTCCCTGTCAGACCTTGTGTTCTCGTTCCTTTTCGCAAAGGTTCTAGGCCAGGTGCGCCAGGCACTCAATGATGCCGAACTCCTCGCCCGTATACCATGGAGCCCGGAAATGCACTCCAGCATCCTTCCGATAGTGAAGCCTATGAGCGGGGACATCGGGTTGTCGGATGCGACATGGATGGATGATCTTTCTATGTTCCTAATGGCAACGGAAGCACCGGCTCTGGTAAGAGCCCTGGACTTCGGGGCTTCTTCGCTTATCGACGCATGTCTGCAGAGGGCGTTGATCCCCAACCTGTCCAGGGGCAAAACAGAGGCCATGATCCAGCTTCACAAAAAAGGAGCAAGAGAGGTCAGGAAAAACATCTTCGGACCAGGACAGGGAGAGATCCCACTTTCATGTAGGCTGTGGAAGGGCGCACGATTGCGCATTGTACCAGTTTACAAGCATTTGGGCGGCTTCCTCCAACTCAACGGAGGGCTACGTCACGAAATATCCTTCCGTTGTGCTCAGGCCTGGGATGCGTTTAACAAGCGTAAAAAGAAGGTGTTCCAGTCGCCACTTGTTTCCGCTTCTGACAAAGCCCAGCTTTTCGACAGCCTTGTGTCCACGGTAATGTTCCACGGTGCCGGCACGTGGACGGGCGTCTCCCAGAAGCACTTAGACTCGTTGGACGCTGTCATCCGTCAAATGGCTTGCCAGATGCTTGCACCGGCACACACATGCGAGGAAGCATGGCACCTTGGCACGGCCGCAGCCATAGCACTTGCTGGGATACCCAGAGCTGATACCTATGTTCATGTGTTCAGGTTGAGATACCTCCTTTCTTGCCTCAGGCTTGCTGTCCCGGAAATATGGGCTCTGGCACACTGGGAAGAGAGCTGGCTGCAACACGTCCGGGAATCAGTCAGCTGGATGTGGGACCTCACCAAGGGCCCAGATGAGACAAGAGAATGGAAGGATATCTGGCCGACATGGGTCGAAGAGTGTCGTACCTCTCCTGGCAAATGGAAGTCCCGAACTAGACGAGCCCTTGCAGCAGCCAGACGCCGTGAGGAAACACAGGCGGCGTATGAAAGACACATGCACTTGATCTCGAAGCAGCTGCAGCATGCCGGAGCGTGCCCAACCAGCGGAAGTCCTGCACTCGAAGGAGGTCTAGAGGTGTGTGCCCCGTGTCAGGTTGTGTTCAAGGGCCTCCAATCATGGGCCGTGCACGCCTTCAAAGTACATGGGAGAGTCGATGAGACCCGCCTGCTGGTTGATGGCACGCAATGTCCGCATTGCCTTCGTGAATACGCCACCACTGTCCGCTTATGCCGACATGTGCGCCACTCCCAGGCATGCAGACTAGCCCTCCTAAGCAGACGTGGACGGGTCCTGCCTGCCCCTGGCGTTGGGAGCCGAAAAGCGCCCAAAGAACACTTGTTCTGCGCCCCGACATTGCAGGCCGAAGGGCCACTCGGACGCCCACAGGGTGATATCATCATGGATGAAATGGATAGGCCATCCGCTGAAGTGTTAGATTGCTTGGCGCAAATCAACTTTGACAATAGCCTTGACAAACTCGCAGACGATGAACTGCAGGAATGTATTCGGGCTTCATTCTCCTGCGTGTGTCTACCCCAGCGACGCCTGAAGGCTACCCTTACAGCATGGGAATCGAGTTGCTGTGCCAAGCAAGACGAGCCAATGCATGATCAGCAAGCCAGAATTGGTTCGGCCATCGCGTGGCTTCGTTCTGTTGACCTTCCCACATGGCTAGTCCCCGAGAACAGGCACAGGCCTACCTCAAGTGTTTCCTCGTCCACTCGTGAAGCCTCTGCACAGGACATTGATCCGAGGCACATCCAGCTTCCCTGCTTGCTTGAGTGGACAAAGGAACACGTGCTAGTTGTTGTAGGGAACCCTCCGTTGGCTCAGGCCTTTGCAACGCGTGCACAGAGCGTCCTCCATTATGAGCATACCGAGTCACTCAAGGCCATCTCCTGCAACCATCTCCCTGACTTCCTTGACGAAGTCGACGAGGAATGCGGCTTTTGCATAAGCCTTCTTGGACTTCCTGCATTCCATCCTCCAGCCACGCAGGCAGATCCGAAAGCGCTTAAGTTCGCAGGAGACCTCACTCGGCTCGCTCTCAGGCTGTGGATGCGAGGGGTCCGTACTTGTCTTACAGTTCAGAAATAAGTTATATTCGTTGTATCTGGGTT